CAAAAACTGCTCCAGTAACAGTTGCTGTCTCGACGCGTCGTGCAAATCTGACAGCGTCCGATTCAACAAGCCGCCGGGATGGACTGCAAACATGACCTGATCCGCTCCCAGCCCAAGTTGGCAGTCGGCCGGACTGTCGAAACCGCGATCAGAACCTCATTCACGGCGGCCCATTATAACTCCACTGGGCCTCCTCTCACCGCCTTAACGTTACGCATACATGCGGCGAGCGCTTGACGCAGCGTAGCACCCCTTCCTCCTGTGGTTTGAGTTATGCGGCCCGGAATCGATCCATTGGCTTGCATTGGTGCGTAGACCGACGTAGAAGCAGTTGGTCCAGTGATTCAAGATCAGCCACTTGTGAATCGATCAGCTGTGGTATCTGGACTGCTGACTCAACGGTTGTTTCTGGGGTAGGCGGCCTCGATCGCACGTAATCTAAGTGGTGTCGGGACAACCTTGTTAGCCTACTTCTGCTTTAATAATTTGCCTGTCGGTTGTTTTAACAATTCGCTAAGGCAGAGAGAAGATAGAGGTTGCGATATGTCAACATTTCTATTGTTCTCTTCAGTCGCAGACACAATACGAGCAGAAACATACAAAGGATTATATACATGGAAAAAATAAGCAACACCAATCAAATTGTCACAGTCAAGACCATGACAAGCGAATTGATTGCCTCAATAGTTTCTGTGCACATGGCACAGGTTGGTAAACCTCAATTAAGCCCAGTTGCGACTCAGACATACCACGCGAGGACACGCTCTTCATAACAGTTAGAGCATCTCCTCGGGTAGTCCAACCTCTCACGTTGTTTCTCAGTTCACCTGCGGTTACGGTGACATTTACATAGGCAGAACAAACCATCAGTTAGCTCAGAAAGTAGCTGAACATTTACCATAGTGGTTATGACAAGTGATTACGCTACAAAATGGGACGCATTTGAGAATTAATCGGAGCCCGGCATCGTATATCACCAAGCACCTCATGGCAACTCGTCAGCACGAGATGCAGACGTTGAGCGCCTCAAGGTCATGCTACACTACCTAGCCTGTGGAGCTGCATTGTGCGCGCTAGTGCGTGAGTGTCCATCTCTCGACTAACCAGCGATGCTTATTGATTGGTTCAAAAGCGAGTGCTTAGCTAAAACATGTGGACTGCTAAAACTAAACAGTTGATCGCTACCCAGTGTGGACTGCTGATGTACCATTGCCATTACTTCTACTAAACTTCTATTTACAATACTGTTGTTCTGATTTTGGTTGAGTGTAACACAAGTGAACCCCGAGACAGCGTTCAAAGTGTTATTACGTAACAAAAACTCGATAATACTGGCAATTAGTGGAGGCTTGTGAATTGAGGTTTATTAACCTGTGCTATGGGTAAAGGAACTCTTGAGGCAATCGATCCGGTTGCCATGGTCTTGACTGTGACGTTTTGATTGGTGTTGCTTATTTTTCCCATGTATATAATCCTTTGTGTGTTTGTGTTGGCATTGTGTTTGCGACTGAAGACAACAATAGAAATGTAGACATATCGCAACCTCTGTCCTCTCTCTGCCTTAACGAAATGGTTGAAGGGGACCCACTGTTTCACTTGTTTTAACAATGGCAAGTAAACACCCGGAGCCTGTAGGTAAACGGAGCTAGATGGGATCAGATTCTTCTATGAGCCTGGCTCTGCTGCCGGTGCCAGAGCGTTCCTTTGCGCGTTATTGTTCCTCGCAAACCTCCGAAACAAACGCACCTGCAGTAAATCAAACTGTGTATGCAACCGACGACTGAACAGTAATTCCGCGGGGTTTCTACTGGTGGTTTCGTTTGTCATGTTTCGATAAGCGGAAAGGGCACTGTCTGAACGCACACGCAGTGGAGCTGCTGGTTGCTTCAGTAACATATTCTTAGCTATCTGCATAGCTCTCTCAGCCAAACTGTTACCTATCTAATGTCATTCGAGGCAAGGAAGGCAGAAAATCCGGCACTAGTGAATGCGGTTCCATTATCTGACGCTAGGGTTTCCGGAAGACCGGAGGTTGTAATAGTCGTACGCAGCTTAACTACTGAGTTAGCTGAATTTGCTGTAGTTAGGACTTGGGCATCAATGGTCAACCATCGAAAGGGCCAAGTCTACGTAAATAAGTTTCCGTGGTGTTTCCGGCTACTTTTATGACTGCACTGGCACATGGGGCACAGCGTTCCGATTCTCCGGACAAAGCACGCAACCCCAATTTTTGACGCAATGTTTTTGTCTAAATCAGGCCAGCATCGATAAAAGCGGGCTAGTTACATCATTTTAGCGACTCCATGATGTGCAGCATGTAGTTCATTCAGGAGAACTGGTCGAAGCTTTTTGGGAGTACAACCCGAGCTCCCCACAGTGCACATACGTTATGAAGACTGAGTTTGGTCAATCTGGTACGAAAAGGCATAAGTTCCTCGTCCAGTTCGATCTGCTAGTAAGCGTGCCTCAGGTCTAGTTCGCCACTTGAGAGGTAAGCATAGATGTCTTTGGCAATGGGTATCGGTCCGGTTGTAGTGCTTGATTGACCGTAACTTTGCATTCCCCACAGATCCTTACGGTCTCATCGCTCTTCAATACAGGCACTATAGGAGCTGCCTAATCGGGATACTGGACGGGTTCTATTGTACCCTCATGCTGTGGTCAGCGGAGCTCACTCACAAAGTTGTCTCGAAGAGTATAAGGTACATTACTCGGCTTCCAGTGGTTTCAGTGTCAAATGTGCCCCGTGATTCAGTTACTCATTCGTTCGCCGAGCTAGGAAATTTGCAAACGTTTCACCGCCATCCGAGGCGGCATCATCAGTGTGCCCCGTAATTGATCAACAACCTTGGCTTGGTTTGGTCAAACAAGGCTGCCTATTTTTGCAAAATTCCGGAGAGTTGCGGATGAGTTTCCACAATGTGGACGTTTGACATGATGTCAGGAAGATGTTTAGTCCCATCGTGACCAAGTATGTTAAGGCGCGGCTCCTAGGAACGTACGGTCGGATGTTTCCAGTCGAATTGCCGTAGGATATGCGTGCAAGGAAAATACCCAATACATGCACCAATTCTCCCATGTAAGATCGCAGTCGTATGATTATTTAATCTTGGCAGTTGCGATAGAGCATTTATGAAGCAACTAAAGGATTGACTATAAAAAACAGCAAGGCGTTGCCTCGATTGCGAGGGTAAATATATGTATGAATGCAAACCTAATAATATCTAAGCATCCGACTTTCGCCCCTCATTTCACCCGTCTTTCCGCATTGTCCAATCCCCCACCTGTACGCCATAATCCATTCATTCAGATTGAAGAAAGAACTGGGGTCATTCCTTTCTAATTGGTAAAAATCCCTCAATAGTAGGCTACATATTATTCCTTCTTGCGCGACAAAAAATACCTCATCCATCGCTTCTTCTCTGAGTTACACACATACCAGAATGAGATATACTCTGGCATTCATGGAATCTGCACCTGTCGTTACTTATGTCGCCTCTATGGAATTTATGAGGCATCATACAATATGCCTGTAGCCAGCAATCGAACTCTCGTGTTATCACGAACTATATAATTGTGGTTATTACTGTTCAATTTATTTTACTCTTCTTTCATAGTTGACCTCGAATTAGTCTGTCTCCTGAGATGAAACAATGAAACTTCTAGTTAATCAGTGTACCGACGCAACGCGAACTGCCCACAAACCCACTGGCATTAAAAAGTGTTGTACTCAGGAAAGTCAAATGGGCCGAATGGCCGTAGTGGCCATCTTAACTGCATAAACAAATGGCCGGAAAAGGGAAGAGAAAAGAGTTAAAGCGAGAAGGGCATGCTTGATTAGAGGCTACGCCAGAGTGGCCTACCCTCATTGTAGATAAAAGTGGTTTGAAAGATGAATCAAGGGGAGTGATAGCTTGTATGCTTTTAAGCCACAGCGGAACATTACCAGATGGGTGTGGAAGTTCTGGTGAAACTTTTAGGAGGAATACTCACATGTCCCAAAATGACGGTTCCACCAATGAGTGTGTCACTTTAAGTAAACCTTCGACCGTTTCTGTTTCTCTTTAATTCTGCTGCAGTCCAAGATATATTTTGTTCCATTAAGTGGTTGAAGTAATGTAACATGGTTGTCCAATCCTGATTATGCCGGAAAGGGCATGTCTCGTGAAACAGAATATATATTATAAAAGAGAATCGAAAAATAGAAACTGGGGTAACCCTGACTAAACGCATCAATCGTGGTGACTAAGTTTATGAACAGGAACACGTTTTCCTACGAAATACGGTGCGGCAGACAACTGTGAGCAATGACAAACCTTCAAGTGGCGAAAGAGTATGATGACAGCATGTTTAAATGTAGTCATGTTTAGGCAGCCGACAAAAAATAAAACGAAGTCACTGACCAGGGAAGGGAACCAGCTTTGCTCGACACTAGTCCCTGGTGCTATGTAAGAAAACCTAGGTTAAAAGACGGCATAGCAGAGTGCAAATGTTTGCTGCATGTGCAAGAAGAAAGTTAGCGGCACAGATGGTCACTGCTGACTGTGAATGGGGAAGTGGTACAGACTAATTGCGGCGTCATTCAGAGCGCCAAGTGTGTAGATGGTTTGTGGCACGCAATTCCCATCTGTACCCCAAGTAAACATGATGTTAATCTCGATAAATTGGGCCACTGGCATGGCGCGTGTTTCCCAGTAGAGACAGTAGAACTGTGGTTCGAACTAAGAAAGTAGAAAATACAAATTGATGCCACAATGAGCCAGTAACCATCGTGATAGTAGTTGGCGGTTTGGTAGCGTAGGATTCATAGCTACACTTTGTAGTCCAGAGTTAGAATGGCAGCTTCACTACTTTCACCTGACGAATGCAAACAAGTACGAAATAGGTGGTGAATCGTATGCGGTCAACAGCTAGCACTCGCACTTGGTGCAGGCGAACTTCACAAGCGATCAGAATCACGCTATAGTTTCAGAATGCAACAACGGCATGCAATAACTCACTATCACATCAAATTTGGCATAAATGTCCACCAACCGGCCATGCGAATCCACAACTGGAAGAGCTGAAACCCGGAAATCGATGAAATACTGAAGCGCACGATGCAAGGGACAATCTTGGCTCACGGTGATCACTCCGGTCGTGGTGCCCAGATTTAATTCCCGCAATCTGCGACCCATAAACGAAGGACGTGGAAGTTGGGAAAACTAGATTGAAAGAACATCGGCAAGAGAAGTAGAGACGGAAGATGCAGAAGCAAAACGGACATGGAAGACATGACAGTGATATCGTTAAATTTTATCACCAGTGGACTATGGGTGAAGGAATGCTGCGTCCGGAATCATGAGGGTGTAATGGTCTATACAATATTCCGTATGAGACCGTCGCTGTAAGAATGTGATCAAGTGTTACAAAGCGGAAGATAAAAGGGAACATCAGGAAAACGGGTGTTAGGATGAGAAAATGCGACATAACAATCGGACAATTGTAAGTCGTACACTGAAGTGCGATGGATCCAATTGCCTTGATCTATGTTGGTAAAAGAATACCAAGAGAATCGGAGAGAAAGAGGAACAACAAGGCAATTGGCAAGGATTGAATGGATATGGTAATTAACAAGTGGAAGCAAGCGAACGACGTAAAGTGGTGTGGGTTTCGTGACTGCTCTACATGCGATGGGATAGAGTAACCACTGTAGTAGTCGAACCCAGGCCCCACCGAATAAAGCAATGAGCACCAACGAGACTGTGTAGCTGTGATTTTTCCATGATATTTGTTCAAATCACCGACCGGACACCCACCGGTTTCAACTAATGAAGTGCGAAGAATGACACATCAACAATAATTGTGCCGAGGATCGCGTTCATTAGTTGTTTGAGGCAGAAAAATCGGGTGGACATCAAGCTACAGCACAGAAGTGGTAACGGAAACCTCGCGGAACAGATTGTTTCGATCGGTGGCCACCGAAAGGATTGTGTGCCCGTATTGTAATCCGGAGGCCACCGATTCGAATCCGCGCATAGGTGCGAGTGATCTAGCCGGTATACGCAACATGCAGGACTGTTCGTGGTTGCTCGAAGCGTCGGTACAGTGTGCCGGCTTACTGCCGAGGCCCTTGAACTCCATTAAACAAAACAGTTCCGATGTAAGTAACGCTAGAGTAAAGAAACGCTGAAAAGCGTCGCTCAGGCTGAAAGCAGAAAACAACTGTTCAAAACGCCCTACTGCCCTGTAGGGTCTTGCCTGATAGGGTTTGAAAAATGGCAAACATTGGTTGCAGATTAAAGTGGGTTATAGACAAGCGAACTGGCCTGTCGAACAACCTCATCTTGGTGCCAGCTGGGTGGTCCGGGATTATCTCGGTCCAGCGAATGGTTCAGCGGCAGTGTTCCAGGACGTGGTGGGTTTTCGCCTGGCAAGCGTTCTCCCTATAAAAAGTCACGTGTCCGTTTAACAACACTGCGACGTGGCGGATGTGGCTCACCACTAAATAAAGTCACTGCCCCGTGCTTCACTTTGATGAAGCATTGTATCCCAGCACCCTGCTGCTGAAATCGTGGGAAGATTGGGCCCCTGTTTGGCTACTCACCAAACGAAAGGCGTAAGAACTGAGCAACCAGTCCTCGAATCCCAAGGTGTGCGAAGCCCTGACTTTCCTCCGTTGTCTTGCGAGTGGGCTATTGAGCCAAAGGCTCGGGGTGGAGTCCCCTAAGACAACTCACTACTTCTGCTTGGGCAATCGGGTAGCGTCGTGCCCTATGTGAAAAAAATGGATTTCGCAATTACTACCACGTCACTTACTTCTGCCATTATTTTCGCTGCTACGCGTGCTTCTACATCACAAGCCAAGTTCCTCTTATTGAAAATCTACAACCTGGTGAATCTACTTCCAATGCCCGTCTCGCTGGTATCCAAATCATCCGGCCATCAGCTATCCTTCGACCCCGTAATTCATTGCGTCTGGCAGCGTTCAATGTTCGGACCCTCCTACAGATTGGACAACAGGATGATCTGACGCGCACTCCAGAGTCCCTCGCTATCAATGTTTGATGCTTTTCAGAGACTACAGGATCCCAGCACCGTGGTTAAACTGTCGTCCCCAGCTGATATTGAGACCACATATTACATACGTCTGTCTAATGACATGGAGGCAACAACAGCCGGCTTAGCTAGTGTCGGTATAGCATTGAGTGACAAAGCGGAGGCTGCATTACTCGACTGCTTTCCAATCGACAGCCAGCTGTGTGCGGTTCGGCTTCAAGGCTCATGTAGAATCAACAGACATCGTGAAGACAGGCGCAATTTGTTGGTCGTTTCTGCCTACGCTCCAAACGACTGCAGCTGTGTATCGGTTAAGTAGGACTTTTATCGTGGTCTCCACAACTTTTTGAACAAGGCCGAAATGTCAGATGTCATCGTCCTTGCCTGAGATCTCAATGCACGAGTAGGTCACCTGCTTCTGTGCGAACGTCATCTGGGTGGCAGTTGCGCGCTTGATGAAAGCCGTTCTGACAACGGTGATAGAGTTCTTAAGTTATGAGAAGACCACCGTCTGCTTCTCTAAAGTACGAAGTTTAGGCATACCAGAAGACGCGCAGCCACCAGGCGTCCTTCACCAACGCTAGCGTGGTCACAAACAGATCACACTGCAATCAGCTTCAGATGGCGAGGTAGCGTCCGGGGTTGTAGATCGATTTGGTCTACGCATCTCGATTCAGATCACGTTTTGGTCTGAGCGGACATATGCATACGCTTCAGCGGCTCCTCGAAACGAAACCTCCATACGCTCGACACCAAGTTAACTGACCTCTCTACTGTATTAATTTATTAAGCTTCCTTATCGCATGCATTCACTAATACCCCACCACAAGACATTGAAAATCATTGGCATTTCCTGCGTGAAGCGATTCAACCTGCGGAATCACAAGAGGCCCTCTGAGGGGCTGAATTTCCGTACATTCACTAAAATTGTTTGATCGTTGCAGAGCTATCCCGGCCGATTCAAATAGCAGTGCGTTACGTCGCATTCTCAGCCAACAACTTAAGCAAAGCCTGGGTGCGGATCGCGAAACTTGGTGGTCCTAGCACGCCTCAGAGATGGAAACGGCAGCCCTCTTTGGAAACTTCCGCGAGCTCTTCCAGGTTATTCGGGCCACTAGTCACATAAGACCTGATGTCAGTGAGGTCATTGGCAAGGTTGACGGAACGCCGATCACCAACTTACACAGGCGTATGGACCGCTGAGCTGAACACTTCCACACACCATTCAGCTGGCCTTCCCCACCAGCGAGTCTACTGAGTATACCTACTTGCGCACCTCCGAACGCCTCATTGGAACCAACCACTGAAGCTGAGATCTACCTTGAGCTCCGACACTTGAAGCAATTCAAGTCTCCTGACCCAGACGGACTTCCTCCATAGCTGTTCAAGTTGGGGGGGCGAAGCACTTGTCAATCAGTTAACAGCTTTGTTCTCTAAGATCTGGTGTGAAGAAACAGTTCCATCCGTTTCGGGTGAATCAAGTATTGTCCCGATCTTCAACAAAGGTGCCCGTGCCCTATGCGCTAACTTCTGAGGAATCAGTCTGATGTCCGTTGCCACCAAACTGTTAACATCCATTCTACTCCGATTCAAGAATTGCGCTCCCGTGAAGAACAGGCTGGTTTCCGCCACGGTCGAGGGTGTCTAGACCATTTATTTACGCTCCGCCAACTCCTTGAAACGCGTCATCTTTACAGCCAGCCCACTATCGTTGTTTTTCTGGACCCACGAGTCGCTTTCGACTCCGTCGATCGTCCTGCCTTATGGTGTTGCTTACAAAAGAATGGAGTACCCGAAAAGTAGATCGCCATCCTTCGAGCATTATACTGCAATGTCGAGGGTAAAGTGAGGGGTTATGGTAAGCTTTCTACACCTTTTGCCGTCACTAGCGGTGTACGACAGGGTTGTCAGATGTCCCCGTTTCTCTTCAATTTTGCGATCAAGGAAGTACTTTCAAACGCTCTCGACGGCTTTGAGGCTTTTGGTGTAGAGCTTCTTCCTGGCAACCGTGTGACCGACTTAGATTATACTAATGATATTGCCTTTCTTGGTGATGACGCATAGAACACAAAAGCCGTTCTAAACCGCTTGGCGATTGAAGCATCAAAAGATGGAATGATCTTTGCCCTTACGAAATGCAAAGTCCTGGTCCTGGATTGGCATCCACCTGCTCCAATGCTCACTCTTCAAGGTACGCAGCTTGAACAAGTGGACAATTTTGTTTACCTGGAAAGCTGCTGATGGTAGCATTGGAAAAGAGGTTACCCACCGTAGTGCCAAAGCCCGTTCGGTATTCGCCAGTTTGAGGCATGTGTGACGACGCCGCAACGCTTCACTATTTGTAAGGGGCAGGGTCTACAATGCCTGTGTTCGCGCGGTGCTGCTGTATAGGAGTGAGTCCTAGCCGGTTAGTGTGAATGACTTGCGTCGGATTTCGGCCCTTGACAATGAAGGTCTGCGGAGAATAGCTCGAGTGTTGTGGATGTACCACGTACGCAACGATGAGGTTAGACCTCGCTTCTAGGGTAACACGGGACTTCAGCTTGACAGACTGGTACCACTGCGCCAAGCGAAATGGCTGCGCCAGGTTTAACGCATGCTATGCGAACAGCTGCCCAGACACGCTCTGTTTGCTCGCATAGGACCAGGCTGGAAGAAATCGCGCAGGGGTCAGTAATCAGGTGGTGACAAACGATTAAAGCGTTGATTTCTAGTTTGGCTGTAGTAGGTCCCGTGCGTCTTCCTGGGCTGGGGGATCAAAGATGAAGAACACCGCTGGCTGGAAACTTTCGGAGATGGCACAGAACCGGGCTCAGTAGAAAATGTGTAAAAAGGTTTGCCTTGATTTTACCTGATTTACATCGCAAACATTAAACAGACAAAAAAGGTAAAACGACGTGGGAAACAAATAAAAAAGCAAAAAAGGAAAGACAAAATACAAAAAAACATTTTTGCAACTTCCATCCCTTTCGTTGTGGTCGCTGTATTTATTAACTCCCGTTTCATTGTCTTCACTGGTTCTATGCCTATCAGATAGACTGCTGAATATATATATATATATATATATATATATATGTATATATATTAGTACTTGAGTCGTCTCCTAATGCGGTCGTTGCATCCACTATTCCTTCGTAAGCCGGCAGGGCTTAAGCATGAAACACCT